TAATACATTTTTTATAATTTAATACATTTGTTTCATTTATTATATATCATTTATATATTTGAATATTATTTCACATTTCATATGCAATGTTGGATGTTCAATAAAAAGTTATGTTTGTGGTCTAAAATGGTCTTACAACGGTGCCGACAATATTATCGTTTATCACAATAATTTCTGGGAAAATGTATCGTCCAACAAAATTAATTATCGTGACAGGCCTACGCATGGGTTCCCTCGACAAAAAAGCAATGGGATTTCTCCATAGGACTTTGGAAAATAGCTCGAAATAAGGTCTGTGGAAAACGAACCTGTTAGGTAAATGCACGTTTTGTTCAGCCGGATAATATCCACGTCTACCCTACTTTTATAATCATAAATCTAATCGATAGATTTATGATTAGCATAAGTTCGTTCATGATGGCTCATGTCAGTTTAAGTGATTTGATCATCAAAGGTAGGCCTAAGGTGGGCCGCCGTGCCACACTTAATTCATTTTTCATTGTTACTTGGCTGTGGGTGCCCTGTCATGATAGGTGTTTATATAAATGGTGTTTTATGTGGTAGAGGGTCGCTGTCATTCTTTCGAGGGAAGGGGGGGGGTGTTGGCGGTATAAAAGTCAAGGCTCGTCACTGGAAGCGAGTGTCGTAAATATCTTACCTTGTCGCCAGCATTTGGGTTCTTGTCAGGGTGGTATTCTTTTGCCAGTTTCCGGTATGACTAGAAGTACATAAAAGAGAGAGCATAGTTAAATAATAATCATTGTAGTAATGCGCTGTTTAATGGAATCACACACCTGTATGACTCAAATTCATAAGAAGGAACAGTGTCTACTTGTTACGCAATCACACGTGATGTTAAGCACTGACGGAAGGAAAGTTTATTCTCATGGTTTTACTGAGTAAGTGGCTATCAGGTGATTTATATTACGACAGACCCAATTATTTTAACTGTATTATACCCATGACTTAATAACCATTTTGTCTAAAAAAACGGTACTTCAAAATGTCTGACAATTTAATCACTAACGTTTAGCATAGCGTGCGTATGCTCATTAGCATCTCTCGCTAACCAGAGACGTCGTTAAGAAATCGCCCTATGAACCATGACAACCCTTTTCCTTAAAGTATAACATTGATATAAAATGAGGGAATTTAATAACGTACACCAATGTAAAGACTTACACCAGGTTTAGCTCAGATTGAAAAGGGTAAAATTACATGCAACAGTAACGTGACATTAGGTCATCTGCTAGCGTTAGCCTGTGCTAGCGGAGTTTTAATTTAAGGTTAACAATGTAACGGTACTTCAATGTTAGCATTATATCTCGTGAACTGGCTGGAGGTTAAATAAAGCCTTGACGCCCACAGAAAGTGAAACCGTAAAACATGACCTTAATTATTGACAACCAATAATAGCAACGTTACTGTACCGCAAAATTGGCATTCAGTAATGCAAGGTTCGAAGTCGACTTATTTTAATCATTTATTCAAACCATAAATATGTCTTTATCATCAAGCTATCCGTCAGGGTTTTCCAGCCATTAGGAAACAAACACTATAATTAACGTTACCTGTTTCCAGAAGCTTCGACAGGCTTAACGTTAGCTAGTTGACATGATGACAAACACCTGAGCTAAAGCTAACGTGAGGTCAATCGCCTTATTAGTAACGTGACAAGCAACAAACTCAATGTCACTTTTAATGAACGTCACCCAAGTTCCCTGTTCTGTTTAAAACCAGACGAAAATCCATATTGACTGTTGCTAAAATAAAAAAGAACCATGATATTACAGAACCCATGAACATTTAACATTACAGCCGCATCGCCACATGAACACCCAGGCCGGTTAGCATGTTAGCCTAGCAAGTTGGCTAACTAGCTTGATGTGCATAACAACGCATTTCCTGATTGTAGCAATTGACACTCACAAACATAAACCTGGTGTAATTTCGTGGTTTGTTCAAACCTTTCAGTGTAATTACCTTCTTCAGCTCATTCTCAGTAGCGTTCGGAGTCACGCCGAGAATATCGTATAGTTTTGTGTCTACTACAGTCGCCATGGTGTTACTGTGGATGTTGCTTCAGCAGGGAGGTGGGTGGACAAAGAGAAAGAGCCGGTGGAAAATGTTTTTTCTCGCCTCGTGTTTCAGTTTCCGGGAAGAGAGACGCTCCGTGTGGGCCGCTGCTGCCTCCAGGCTGCGGGGACACCACATTACTGCCCATTGAAAAAAACATTCTGAATTATTACAATGACACACTTTTTTAAAAGAAGTACTTTTATTTAGTATACACAGAATGACGCAACATCATTATACAAATAATGACTTCATACATGCCAAACTTTCCAAATCCAAAAGAGGTAGGTTTGCGCGCGGCAAATGTGCATGCCCAAATTAGGTAATCAGAAGAAATGGAACCCCAGTAATTACATGTATAAACCATGTATTTAACATATTGCATAATTGTATGCATTTTTCAGAAAAAGTGGTAGTTTGGTAAACAGTGACATCAACGACATGTTTGGTCTGTAAAATGTCCAAAAGTAAAAGAATGGGAGATAAATATCCCAAAGTCTCCACATTGTATTATATTTTGTGTGTTTCTGGTCCTCTTTCAGTTGAGCCAGTGTAGATGAAGGATGTGTCAAGCCAGGTTCATATTCTTGTTTCATGTTGTTGACATATTAGAGTCAAAGGTTTGCACAGAGCAAAATATCTTTGTGTTGCGCGATATATCAGAAAATACTGCATTAAAAAAGTAATTTCCTGAATTTTTGTACTGATAAAGTGTGATATAAATAATGTACAGGCTTTCAGATTGCTGTAGTTCACTAAACAGAGACATTAACGACATGTTTGGTGTTGAAAATGTCAGAAAAAGTGAAATAATTGGAGATAAATATCCCCAAATCTCAAAATGTTATTATATTTTGTGTGTGTGTGTGGTCCTCTTTCAGTTGAGACACTGTAGGATGCTTCCGGAAAATACCAAATACTGGATGTCTTTCAGTCGCCAACATGTGTTTTCGTGACACTGATATTAACGGGGAAATCCTGCAGGACTCAAATGCCTCGTCTGTGTTTACGCTCCTTTGGGAGTGTTACCCCCGGTCTGCACATTGTTTCTCTTTCAGAAACACAGAGGACTGTTTTTATGATGGGATCACAGACACGCTGCAAACGATGTCCGCCAAAAGTCGAATCCAGTGTTTATGGAGTGTCATTTGTATTTGTTATAGTTTGGGAAGATTGAAAATCGGTAGGGAAAGCCAGCTAAGTCGGTAGGCGGTAGAAACATGTCAAAAGCGTTAGACTACCGCCCAAATCGGTAGGGTTGGCAGGTATGTTCTTGTACAAAG